ATATATATATATATATATATATATATAAAAGATATTAGATTATATTATATAATTTATTTTTTAATTGAAAAATAACAAAAAAGTGCATGTAAAAAGAACAAATGTTCTTTGATAATTAGTTCATTCTTAAGCATTGTCAACCTTACATGACAATAAAAAAAAATTTGAATACCATAAAGACCATATTCATAATAAATAGAGTATAAAACAATTAGTTATAATTTTTGACATATAGGGATAAAAAAGTAATTCACTCTTATAAATTGATGATGTTACTTTTGAAAGTAAATTACCAATTTCCTCCCATTTGGTTGGTGGAAATTATGGATTGGATCCGTCAAGTGAAGATTACAGGGACTTGTCATTATCGTTTTCTAATTTACTATGGATCAAGTATTTCGTGTTAACAATCATTAAAATTCCTTATTAACTTAAGGGTATTTTTTTCTTTTTATCATGTTATAGCATTTGTAATTGTTTTGGGGGCCTTTTTTGCCAATTTTTAAAACTTAAGAACACATGTATTGAATTAACAAAATCAAACCTAAAACCAAACCCAAAATCAAACAAAAACCAAATCTAAAACATCATTCACTAAAGTAAAGGATGGAGGCATGTAGGGGCCAGGGTGAGCCTAGGCATACCCTCTAATTAAAAGGGAAAAAACCTCAATGAATAATATTCCCTTTTAAAGTTTTGTGCTCCATTTTTCGTTTAATGTGATTATTTGAGATAGAGTTTTAGAAAATATTTTCTTAGTTTCTTCATATTTTACGTATCTTTTTTATTTCAGCTCTTGTTAATAAGGTACAAGAACGACCTTGGAGTTGTAGGTCAGCATGATCTGTTTCATCCAACACACAATCGTTTTTCTTACAAACATTTTCTTTTTTAATTTATTACTGTTAAAATTTCACAGTTTCACCGATGAATCAAGATTTTCAATCATTTTAGAGATTCTACTCCCTCATTTGATCATTTTTTGTGCTCTACGTGTCTTATCTCAATACACTTCATTTAGTTGAGCTCTTCTGCTACAACAACAGTGACTTCATCAACTTTCTTGTTTTGGTTTAGGAGACATAAAGCAAGCATTCATTAAAAATTTCTTTAACAAAATGAAAAAAAATGAAAATCACTATATTAAACGGCCATTAATACGAGGGACTTGATCTGTAACAAAAACAAAACCACGGTGACCGTCCCTATATTATTTCACTTAAAGGACGCAAATCCATATTTTTCATCAAACAACATAGACGAAATTTGCAATTTATATATGTATCTATTTAATAGAAAATGTTTGATATCCAATCTGTTATGCGAGCCGATTAATCTCAGGACCACCTGCTTTACGGGTAGCCCGGAGTCACCGCATTTGAACCTCTGTGGCCACAAGAAGATTTTTATTCCTCCTTTAATTTGAACCTGTGACCTCTAGACACTTTTTACCTTTGGAGCTCAACCTCAAACCAATCAGGCACCACCCTTGTGGTTATAAAATGTTATTTATGGGTCGTTTACTAAACATTTACCCGGGTAAGTGCTTACCAAGTAATATTACCTCACCGGATGAATATGGTAAGAACCAAGAATCTTATGCGGCAAGTAAATAATAGTGTTGAATTTTACCGGTAAGCACTTACTGGGAGTGTTTGGTAAACGATCCCTTAATATTAATGGATATGGATTATAAAGTAATAAAAAAGATTATTTTAAACTTCATTTCATTTATTTTTAGTTGGAAAAAAAAAGGGCTACAAGGTGAAAAGAAGTTCCCCTATTTAAACCCTAATTATGGAAGCCATTCACAAACACATTTTCTGCAAAGAAGGAATATATTTTCTGGTATGCTTTTCTAACTCTTTTGTTTAATTCATATTCTACCCTTCTATATATATATATATATATATATGTATGTATATATATATATGTGTGTGTATATATATGTATGTATGTATAAGTGGCATTTTAGCTGAAAAAATAACATATTTATATAAACACCTAGAAATAAACGTCATCAGATCGAATTAAAAGAGCGAAAATCGTAAGTTGAGTGTTTCTTTTATTATGGAATATTATCATCGATTTGTATGTCCGTTGAATATTACTGTTTGTTGTAGTTTAGAGTGGAGACGCATATTATTTCGACAAAATGAAGAACAAATATGTTGGAGTTTTTCTTTTTCCTTTTTGGTATCTTTGCGAGTTCATCGTTTATAATAAAAGTTAAGTATGATAATTTAGAACGGAAATCTATCATTTTACAAATTTGATTAACGTAATTTTTCGTGTGTTCATACATGTATACTAACATTAGGTAAAAGCGGTTTTCTTTATGCTTATATATTCTCGTACTTGTTCTGTAAGCTTTCACGATAACTTGCAAACAACCATCATAATGCTTTTCGATCAGTTTCCGAGTAGGTAAACAGCATCAAATTAGTGTTTAGATGTCGTGTAAGTTAAAAAGTAAGTTTTAAACGTTTGATCTTTTGTATTTACTAATGAACGAGACATATAACACAAAATGTTGATCTTGTCACAAAGTTTATCGTTCTCTTTGTTGTAACCTGTCGTATATATGCCTTTTATAAGTGGGTATTAATGTCATCAAATATTAGAAGTTATCATATTACACGTCAAAAGGGTTTGAAATAAAAGAGTTTTGATATTCTATTACATTAACTGAGAAAAAAAAAAGCATTACGTTAAATATGAACTGAACTGAACTTGGTGCATTTTTATGCTTTTACCCTTATCAAAATACTTCGACATGTTTGGATCCCGGTATTTTCTTCTAACTGCACTACAATAAAATTGGGTTTATAGGACATTTAAAGTGTTTAAGCGTTCTAATAACATACTTTATAGGATTTAAATTTATAGAACCAAATTATAAAGTGTTCTATCTAAAAGTGTTACGATAGGTTTGTAGAACGATTTTAGCCGTTTTAACAAGTTTTTTATGATGTTTTTGAAATAAAGTGTCGTATTAGCTATTTTATAGGACAATTTTGAAAAGTGTCCTATATACCCATCTTTTTATAAGACATTTGTGTTTATAGGACACTATTTCAAATAATGTCCTATAAAATAACTAATGCGATACTTTATTAAGAAAACATCTAAAAAGAACTTGTTAAAACGCCTAAAAACATCCTATAAATCTATTGTAAGATTTTTAGATAAGACATGTTATAATTTGGTCCTATAAACTTAAGTCCCAAAGAATATATACTATGAGGACGTTTAAATATCTTATGTGTCCTATGAACTCAATTTTGTTATAGTGTTGTAAGCTTGTATTCAACTGATAACATAAATCATTTTTTTATGTAAATGTTGGTCCAATTTAATTAGCATAAATAGATAGATAAGATTGGAATTAAACCAAACAAATGAAATCATAAATTTCATGAAATATTATTTGTATATTTTTCAGATAGATATCGAGAAATGACGATCAATATCAACTGGTTTGCACTTTTTCTTGCCATAATGCTCATCATAGGAACCATTGATGGCGGTCCACATCTTCCCCGAAAAGCAAGCACCCGGGCAACCAAAGATGTTGCCGTTGAAAGAAAATTTTCTACAAACAGTTTCAACAATGATGCAGGAATAGATACTCATCACAAGTATTCTTATACAAACCGTCCCGTGGTTAAAAACTAGTTGTGTCATGCAACTAGTACCGTGCTCCATCATCTATATAGTTACAGAAAACATGGAGAAATAAGGGATATCGTTGGGTTTGAATAATGTTGGTCGAGTCTAGCCAAGTTGACTCACTGCGCCATGTTACCATATAAGTGGACGAATATGTATGATTGTATAATATTTGTGTGTATATAAACGTGGTTTGTTAAATGATATGAAGTGTGGCGTGTTTTCTGTATGTATACACTATATATATATACATATACATATATATATATTGAACTACCATCTCATGATATTTAACATTTTTATTTAAACCGATTCCTATATATATATATATATATATATATATGTGTGGTGAATCACAATTATTTTTAGCAATTTATCACAATTTGCACATAATGATTTATTGAATCACAATCTGTGCATAATGCTTTATTGAATCACAATCTGTGCATAATGCTTTATAGAATCACAATATGTTTGTTTGCATGATCTATTTATCAATTTATTAAAATCTGTTTATTCTATTAGGTCATTTATCAAATGCTTACCAGATAAATATTTATCGGGTGTCACGTACCTTCCGAATAGGCATGGCAAGGACCTAGAAACTTACTCAATAAGAAACATAGTAAAGACCGAGAATCTTACCCGGTAAGACTTATCTAATAAAAGATGTTTTTACCAAAAATATGTTTTGATTGCCGAAAATATTACCCGATAAGGTAAGTAAGGATAGTGCTCTTGCGGTAAACCACTTGTAATTGAGACTTTTGCCTACGAACTTTTTCCGATGAAATCTTGTGTACGCATTTCATTGTGTTGTGTGCATGTAAGTTAAGACGAGAGGAAAGAGAAAAGAGAGAGGAGAAAAATAAGCATTTAAATTAAATTAGATTTTATTTTTTAACTAATATTGTATGGTCTAGATTGGATCTGGTGAATTAGAAAAAGTTCTTAAAAGAAGGTCTCCGTATGTATATATATATATATATATGTATGTATATATATATATATGTATGTATATATATGTATATATGTATATATATGTATATATGTATATGTATATGTATATGTATATGTATATGTATATGTATATGTATATGTATATG